TATGTTGTATGGTGTTTAAAGATAAGCAAAAATGAACTTTGGACATGATATAACGAGAATAGGAATTACAAAACAGGAACGACAAGGAAGAAGATAGAACGGGATAAAAACATAGATTTTAGATTAGAACAAGTTACAATTCAAACAAATTAACGTTTGCCATCAAATATATAACATGTGTTTTCAATTTATATAGCATAAAAATGTTCAAAATAATAAATGTTATTATAGTATGTTCTATAATAGTTAAAATTTAAAAAAACAAACAAATGTAATTTAATATTTATGAACAAAATATAAAACACTAAGAATAAAGAAGTCAATTAATTTTGTAATATTTTTATTATATCATATCATATAAAAATATACTAAATATATTTGTGTTTGTCCCAAACAGGATATCCAGAATTTTTGTTTCCGTCACCTCCTGTTTCTAATCGGGAATACAAAATTTATCTTATATTAGAGATGCATTCTCTTATGAGATATAAATTGGAGAACGGGTAAGATATAATGGAACATGATAAAATTGAATGGGAATTACTCTAAATAATTATATTTCTCGCAAACGTATTTACTCACTTTATCGGTTTTATATATGGTTTGATAGTTTACAAGTTTAATGTTCACAAGTTTAATAAAAATCTACCTGACCATTAACTCGATTCAGTTTGATCTCGGTCCGATTGTTTGATTGTTACGAATTTTAAATATTACTAAAATCATTATTATTTCAAATATTTCAACCAACTAATATGAGTTTAGGTTATAGATACTATAACTATATAAATAATTTTTTTAACATCAATCTAATTTATATTATATAACAATCTAAGATTTTTTCTAATTTACTCTTCAGTTTCAAACTCCAAAAATTGACTTATGGTTGCTATTGTGTCATAAGCAAACATAAATAACATTTATACTTTTCTGTGTATATTATAATTTATTCAATACAGTATATATCACTAAAACAACAAAACAATCAGATATTTAATAAAAATTTATTACAACACATTTCTGAAAATATGAAATTTCGCACGCACGTATGATTTATTTTATGTGACAAATTTGATGTTTAGATCTTAAATGTTCTTGTGAATGCCTCAATATCCAAGAAAAAGTAACAAACATGGGAGTGATTGGCACGGTATAACATATATAACACCTTATAGGTAACCATTTAGCGAGATGAGTAATGATAAGAACGATTACACATTGGAACCAATAAACTTATTTATTTCATTTCAATTCTTACTTGACAACACCATACCAAAACACAACCTAAAGAAAGAGTAGACTCAAATACTAATTCATCACATCAACGCTCCAATATAGTTACCATTATCGTGAGAAACGTCGCCGTTTTCCTCTGCTTTATTCTTCTTTTTGTGTTCTTCCTCTGCTTTCTTCTTGATCCTCCTTGCATCCCTCGCTGCTTTCTTTATCTTTTCTTCCTCAGCCAACTTCTTTGCTTTCTCCTTCTCTTCCTCCAAAGACTTAACCAACCGCGTAAGGCAAATATCGGCATCGTCTTCATCAGATTTCGGCATCAAGTTCTCAGCAACATCAGCTGGAGACATGTCAGTTTCCTCCACCAATCGCTTGATTTCTCCAAACAAGTCATGTGACTCAATCTCCAAGTAGTTCTTAGCCAAAACCTTAAACGCTTCAAACCTACAATAAGACATCTCAATATGGTTGTCCATTCTTCCTCTACGTATCAAAGCTGGATCAAGCTTATCCAAATAATTCGTAGTAAACACAATAATCTTCTCTCCACTACAAGCTGACCACAACCCATCAATGGCGTTTAATAGCCCCGACAAAGTAACTTTACTCTCTCTTTCACCTCTTTCTCTCTTCAACAACTTCTCAGCTTCTTTCTTCTTTTCTTCTTCCTCTTCATCCTCATCTTCCTCCTTCTTTTTCTTTCTCTGTCCCGTAAGATCAAGCGAACAATCGATATCTTCAATCACAACAATAGACTTCCCTTTTGTATCCAACATTAGCTTCTTCAACTCCGAGTTATCCTTCACAGTAGTCAACTCAAGATCATACACATCATACTCCAAGAAGTTCGCCATAGCCGATATCATCGTCGATTTCCCTGTCCCGGGCGGTCCAAACAAGAGATAACCTCTCTTCCACGGCTTCCCAACCTTCCTATAATAATCTTTCCCTTTAGTAAACTTAAGCAAATCCTTTTTAATCCCTTCTTTCTTTTCAAGATCCATAGCCAAAGTCTCAAACGTTGCGGGATGATCAAAAGGAACGTTGCTCCACCTTCCTTCTCTCCAAGCCGAATAATCTTGACTTGAATTATTAGTGTAAAGCTTCCTCTCTCTGTTCTTCAACCCAATCTCTTTCCCTTCTCTCAAAACATGATCAAGATAAATCGTTGTGATCATCTCCCTATAACGATTATGAAAACTCAAAGTCAAGTACCTTTTCTCGCTAGAATCAGCCTGATCATTACTCTTCCACACGCTCAAAGACCACACCACCTTCACACCTTGGAACACATCTTCAACTGCTTCGTGATCGTCCAAACTAAGCACCAACGATTTGCTGTTTTTTGATTCGTTGGCCTTTAACCTCTGAGCACGAGCCGTTGATTTCGAGGATAAGTAGTTGCGTATCAAATCATAGGCTTGGCTTTTCTTGAGACCTTTATCTTCTGTGTATTCAGTGAATTTGATGTGAACAGAATTTGAGACCAAACCGAACATCTTGTAAAAACACTTCTCCAAGTAGTCTCTGATTTGGTATGGCACAAACTGTCTGTACATTGACCAGAAGAACATAAGACTCGCCATGGTCGTGCCGGTGAAACCAAATAATCCTCCGGCTTCAAACATCTTTGTGTTTGTTTACTTCTCTTTGTGACTTTGAGATGTGCTCTCACTAATTATATATATCCATGTTCTTTGATTATTTCGGGATTTATTAGTCTTTAGTCGTTAAAAGAGTAGATCTTACGTTGGTTTGCTCATGCCAACGTGTGACTTGTGAGAGCCACTTAAATTCATTTTCATTTTCGTTTTGGTTGTTGTTAAGAAAACCACTTAAATTCTTGTTAGAAAAAAATCAGGGAAAGCAAATATCAATTCACATATAAGTCGTTGAGAGAATCTTGTTATATAAAGTTGAATCCGTTTCAAAATAACTTTGCATATTATCAAAAAATAAAAAAAAAACTTTGAGCATATAGCGATGATAAAGTTTGCATTTATGCTACTTTCTCTTCTTTTTTTTCTTCCTTTTTTTAGGGGCAGAACTCTATGGGTATTTATCCTACTCTAGTTACAACGAAATTGTATTGCCACTTTGATAAAAAGAAATATTTATTATCATGAAATTTTGGTTCGTATAAATAGTCATTCCACATGGTTTTCATGTTCTTGGGTACAAATTTGACGAAAAGTATTGAAAGATTTTGTTGTATTTGCTTAATCATGAAGATACTATATATGAGTTTGAAGAAGCTAGGTGTGAAACCGATTCCGAGTTTTGAGAAATTATGGAGCAAACCATAAAGAGTGGGATCATAAAAATAAAGTGGTGATGTTAAAGTTTTAGTTTTTTCTTTAAATTTACTTTTGTATTTAGTAGTTGTATATCCATCTTTTATGTTCGTAGTATCTTTTTACAACTCAATAGTCATTTCAACATTAAAGTGCAAAGTCACTATTATTATCTTGTTTCCCCGAAGACCGAAATAACCGATGGATGACGGGCAGAAGTAAACTAATAAAACAACTTTGCAGAGACTTTGTGGCGTTTTTATGTTTCAACGAATAATACATCTCTTTCAAACACCACTTAAACTCATTTTTTGGATATATCTTAGTAAAGTCTACACAAATTATTGGTGGTCTTTATATTTTGAATTTTTTAAAAATATGTTTGGTGGTCTTGCATCTCAACAACGTCTTATTTTGTATAGAATGTTAAAGCTTTTGCTGTTCCTTCTTTATAGTGCCAAACTGTTCAAGTCGAAATTTGTATATATTGGATAGTTAAATTTGTTCTTCGAGGACTTCGCTTTTTAAAAATTACTCAGTGAATGTGGGCTTAAGTAAGATGTTAACTTGGGAACAAAACTTATATGCCTACTCCAGATAAGTGCTATTTACGTGTCATTTTTGTTGGCGAGATAATTGGGGGCAGATGGATTTGGAGTAAATTAGTTTTCCAGTAAACCAACAAAAGGTCCATAACAATGCAAATATTGTCCATATTTTTCTCAATTTAATCCAATGCAACTAAGATATTTGGATTTATAATCGGTCCACGTGAGACAAATAAATTGATGTTTGTTGTAGATCTCCGAAAACCTTTGTAGATATATGAATATATTTTTCATATTGTCTCTTTCGTCAATTAGATTGAATATTCAATAAAATATATATTTATTTTGTAAGAATATGAAAAATCTATGACAAGCGGTTATTTGTAATCAGTGAAAACATGTTTGGAATAGAGTCAATCAATACTAAAAATTCAACACAATTTAGTGTTAATATTATGATGAAACTTCCTAAGTTCCATTGGTTAATTTAAAAAAATACTGATGCAGATCCGGTGACAATGCGACGAAATCTTGTGAAGATCCGGTGACAATTCAATAAAATTTGGTGAGATTCAGTGACAAATCGTTGAAAGTCGGTAAAAATCCGATGAAACTTATGATTCAAATAATATTTTGTTGTATAATTGCGATTCAAAACATAAATCTCAATTTTTTCCGACAAAAACATAAACCCGTAATTTTCCTGCTAAAAACGTAAATTCGTATTTTTCCGCAAAAAAACATGTATTTCGTCCAAAACGTAAATCCGTAATTTTTTAACAAAAACGTAAATCCATAATTTTCGCGTAAAAAATTGTGAATCCGTAAATTTCCCAATTTTGATGATAATAATGATGAAATTTTTTGATTATTATTTTCTAATAATTATTAATTAAATTATTGTTTAAATTATTATTTAAAAGGATTAACCCATTTAACAATTCAACCCATCAAATTAAATGAGTTCATGAGTTGACCCAATTCATTTTATTAAATGAATTGGATCAACTCATGAACTCATTTAACTCTAACCATAAATTCATTGGATAATGAGTTGCCTTTGGTTATCCATTTTGACAAACCTAGCCATAACCCATAATTTAGGCATATAATTCAGCTTTTTTATCTATATTTATTACCACCTTCTCCATCTTCTTATTATTTACTCTACATAATGAAAACTTTTTACAGTGTTTACATCGCGAAACAAGTTCTAGGTGAGGTGATGTACACATAAACAAAATATGCTTATGTTTTGTTTATATTTTGCATAATACTAGTATACATGCATCTATATATCGATAATTCATTATCATCTAAAAGATAGGTTTTAAACCATGCTAATTTTTTCATATTTTTATAAGGATTTCACTCTTTTCTTTGCTTCCTTTGTTGAAGTAATTGAGTTTTAATATTCTACTTTATCTTTTAAGTATTTAAGTATACATGTAAATTTGACTAGTTTGTCACTCAGATATTCATCATTACATGGATTATTACAATAAGAGCATTTTTGTACTTATACAAATATATGTGTGCATTTTTAGTATCAAAGCACATGCAAATTATGTGGTTGTATTTAAACCTGTTTCCTTCTCTTATGAGAAAAATATCATTAGCGACAATTCCTCTTTTCTCTCTATTCTCTTCTCTCCTCCGTTCTTCACTCTCTTCTTCAACTCGTTTTCTCTTTTTTTAGGACAATGGATATCATCTACGAGGTCAGTCAAGGTCGTATTCGTAGCTACATTTGCCATGTCGAGTTTGAGTTTAATCGATTCTATGGAACTACGACAATTTGTTATTGGGGATGCTTGTTGCGTCTGCAATATACTCATATATATTTCTCTAGTATCTGTATTGGTAAGTTTATGTTTTCAATATCAAAGATTAATAAATATCCCTGCATTACTACTACGGAAAAAATAAAGTTTTTAATAAAGAAACAATGATAAAATGCAGATGAAAGTTGTAAGAACTAAAAGCGTCGAATATATGTCCTTCTTGGTAGTCGTTTGCAATGTTTGCAAACGCAACTGTTTGGACCATTGTCTCTCTATTACTGGTAGATCCAACAATGTTTGTAAGTCTTCTTAAAGACATTCCTATTTTGGGTAAATTGGACTTATATCAGAAAATAGTAATTTGTCAAATTTCAATAATCTAGTTAATCATTTCCCTTGATTTCCTTACCCACTTTTTTGTCCAAATAATGATCCATATAATTGTTTTTCTCGACAAATGAGCACATTTACATACATAACTACAAGAAAAATAGAACAAATACACAAATACAAGAAAAAAAACTTCAACGATTTGAAAATGTATGAACTGACAATTTAATAAAATATAGTTTCTATGATAAATTAATTGTACAAGAATTTTCCCCAATTTCTTCTAAAGTTTGTGTACTTGTCAGCCTTCTCTTTTTTCATGTGTTTGTTGATATGAATAACAGAATAAGGAAAACGGTATAATAAAAACTAAAAAAAAAAGAGAATTATGAAGAGGAGCCGTTGGAGGAGGAATTGTAGCCGTAAGGGTTATTGCTTGCCCAATTCCATAGATCCCTACACATCTCCTCTATCCCATTTTTAGCCGTGCATTCATACCAAACTAAACAAAACAATTTTTTTTTTGCCTAAATACAACTTTTTTGAACTTACAGTCCTAATTTTGAACCAATCAATCTTTAACTTTCCTAACAAATTTCACAGCTCAAAACAATTTTTTTTCGTTTTTTTACATGTAACTTTTAAATTTTTTACAACACATTTTTTTGTGCTTTAAGAGCTGTCGTTTTTTTAATATAATAACATTTAATTATCTAATTACAATATTTTAATTAATATAAATAACATAAAGAAAAAGTGAAAAAACAATATATATTTCATTTAGTTATTATAAAATTTAATATTATAATATATATTTTCATCTAAAATTGTATAATGAATATATGAACTAACAGCTCCCTGATGTCCATCTGCTCCCTGATGTCCATCAGCTCCTTGATGTCATCAGAATCTGCATCTTCAAAAATTGCAGTTGATATATCAAAGTGGCTTTCTTTTCATTGTGTAGTTCCTATTTCTACCATTGCTTCTACAAAATGAAGAAGCGTACTCGAGATCATGCTTTGATAGTATCAGCCTTAAAGGAGTCATCGTTTCTTGTAAGCTCTTTACAGTTGTATGAATGGAAGTTACTGGAGAAATCATATAACGTAGATAAGTTGTATGAATGGAAGTTATTGGGTATTTTTTTTCTTTTTTGCATTTAGTTTATCTCTTAGTCTTCTTAACTAATTATAAAATCATGTATGGTGTCGGATTTCTCATAAAACGAGTTCAGGTAGATTTAATAAAAATAATGTTATAGCTTACTTTTGCATCTAAAGTTTATATTTTGTAACCATGCCAAAGCAAAATAAAACCACAATAGTAATAAACGTTTTAAAGTTTACTTTGTAACCATGCCCTTCACTTTGTTTTGTTTCTCCTGCTTTACATTATCCTCTGCTTTCTTCTTGTTCTTCCTCGCTTCCTTCTCTATTTTCTTCTTCTTCTCTTCCTCCAAAGACTTAACCAAACGTCTAAAGCAAATATCTGCATCGTCTTCATCAGATTTCGGCATTAAATTCTCAGCAACATCAGCCGGAGACACGTCGACTTCCTCTAGCAATCTCCCAATCTCTCCATACAAGTCATGTGACTCGTTCTCCAAGTAGTTCTTAGCTAAAACCTTAAATGCTTCAAACCTACAATAAGACATCTCAATGTGGTAGTCCATTCTTCCTCTACGTATCAATGCTGGATCAAGATTATCCACAAAATTTGTTGTAAAAATAATAATCTTCTCATCACTACAAGCTGACCATAACCCATCAATGGCGTTCAATAACCCCGACAAAGTAACATTGCTCTCATTATTCCCACTTACTCTTTTCAAGTTCTCAGCTTCCTTCTTCTCCTCTTTATCCTCATCTTCTTCCTTCTTTTTCTTTCTATGTTCCGTAAGCTCAAGGGAACAATCAATATCTTCAATTACAACAATAGACTTCCCTTTTGTGTCCAACATTAACTTCTTCAACTCCGCGTTATCTTTCACTGTGGTCAACTCAAGATCATACACATCATACTCCAAGAAATTCGCTATTGCGGATATCATCGTCGATTTCCCTGTCCCGGGAGGTCCAAACAAGAGATAACCGCGCTTCCATGGCTTTGCAACCTTCCGATAATAATCTTTCCCTTTACTAAACTTAAGCAAATCCTTTTTAATCTCTTCTTTCTTATCAAGATCCATGCCCAAAGTCTCGAATGATGCATGATGATTAAAAGGAACGTTGCTCCATAGTCCTTCCCTCCATGAAGAATATTCACTGCTGGAATTATTAGTGTAAAGCTTCCTCTCTCTGTTCTTTAATGCAATCTCTTTCCCTTCTCTCAAAACATGATCAAGATAAGTCTTTGTGATCATCTCTCTATGCTTATTGTCGAAACTCAGAGTCCAGTACCTTCCCTCATTCGAAACAGATCTATCCTCTTTAGTTCCCACGGTCGAAGACCATATCACCTTTACACCTTGGAACACATCTTTAAGTGCCTCGTTGTCGTCCAAGCAAAGAACCAATGATTTGCTGTTTTCCGATTCTTTGGCCTTTAATCTCTTGGCCCTAGCAGTTGATATCGAGGATAAATAGTTGCGTATCTCATCGTAGGAGCGGGATCTACTTAGACCTTTTCCTGTGTATTCAGGGAATCTGATGCAAACATTATTCGAATCCTTGATCATGAAAAACTTGTCCAAATACTTCTGCAAGGTTTTCTCCAAGTAGTGTCGGACTTGGTATGGGACAAACTGTTTATACATTGGCCATAAGAACATAAGACTCGCCATAGTCGTACTGGTGAAACCCCATATTGCTCCGACCTCAAGCATCTTTGTGTTTCTTTAAATTCTCTTTGAGACTTTGAGGATGTGCTATCACTACTTATGTATATATAGCATGATCTTTTTTGTCGTTAGTTTTTTTTTACGTCTGTTACGGTAGAAAAAAAAAAGTTAAAAACGACAATATCAATTCAATATAAAAAAGACAATATCAATTCAATATATAAACGACAATATCTATTCAATATAAAAAAGACAATAGTAGTTAAAATTAGATTCAATGAGCTAGTAAATGGAAATTGAGTATATTTTTTTAGAACTGAAAAAATGGAATATTGAAATGAAACAATAAGAAAAGACCAATATATGGATTTAATCAGTAAGAGTATAATCATATATATAGAATCAAAAGTATAGGAAAAATAACAAAAGAAGCATAGTAGAACATCTAATTAAAATTTAAGGTTTTGAAAAGTTGTGTATAAGTGATTTGGTTAAATGTTGGTCATATAGAGCCATACCGCTTGTATAGAGCCATACTGCATGTATGACACGCCACGTAGACTCAAATGGGTATACTTGAGAGTTCAGAAGAACCTTGAATTGGTTTGTCTTGAAGCAAAACTTGGAAACATGCAAGTGAAGACTTTGCAATTGAGTCAAGATTGTAGTACCCTCCCTCTCTAACGCCATCACAATCTTTCCATGGACGAACTCCATCAGCTGAAAACATTGGTGAAACAGAATTGGTATGTGCCTGATAAAACATTTTAAAGGTTCGGTTTATTCTTGGTTCGAGGCGAATTAACATGGTTGCTAAATCACTCTCCTACATGCCTCATGCCGATATTCAAAATTGAAAATTTTGTAACACAACATATAATTGTTTGTTAGGTCAGTGGCGTTTATACCCAGTAAAATTGAAGATGTCTTGTTCGATTCGTCAAATCTTGTTCACATATCTCTTTGTTATTTTAGTATATATTGACTCCTTTCATGTTTTTATATTTCATGGTTGGTTATTTTATAGTTTTTAAAATTTCATTCCAATCTTTTATTTATATACACATAATTAGTTTTCGTATTTTATATAACAAATTAGTTTTAGGTGATAAATGTAAACCAGCATTATCTACATTCTGAAACATCATTAAAAGTTATA